CGCAACAGAAGCGGCAACAGGTGCAGCCGCAACAACAGGTGGCGCGGTACCTACAGCAGTAGCTGCAGCAGGAGCAGCGGCAGCTGCAACAGCAGCTGCAACGGCAGCAGCAGGAGCTGCAGCAGGAGCAGCGGCAGCTGCAACAGGAGCTACAACGGCAGCAGCAGGAGCTGCAGCAGTAACGTCAGAAAGTTCCGGGAAATTCTGCGGCTTGCAAACGTGCTAACTAACTGCTTTTCGAGATCACGGGCCGTCCCAGAGGCAGATGCCATCCATGCCGTGTGCTCACGCTGTGCTTCCGCGTCTTCTGCCAACAACGCGGTGTATCGCTGAGCCTCCAGCCATTCCTCTTCTTCCCGTGCTTTGCGCAGACGCTCCGATCTGGCACGCGCAGCCGCCTCTGCCAAGGCAATTGCTTGTTCCAGACGAGCATGGTGCTCGCGAGCTTTCTGCTGGTCGTTCTCTCTTCGAGACGCACGTGCCTCGAGTTCGGCGGTTGAAAGCCGAGGGACAGCCACAGCGGCGGCCTCCTGAGAGACAGCGGCAATCTGACGGGGGATGCCGCTGGAACCAGTACCCTTACTGGCTCCAGGCGACACCGCGGTACTCTTACTCGGTGTTCCGAATGGACCCCCAGCGGAGAGAGACAAAGTAGGTGTGCCACCACCATCATTCGTCTCCCTCGGCGCCGGGAGCGTGCCTGCAGCAGGAGAGCTCCCCTGCTCTCCTGCCGTGACCGGGCTGACAGACGTGTCAGCCTGAAGGTCCTCCTTCAGTTTCGACATCGCAGCGGGATCTGCGGTGGTGTCGAGATCAACCGACATGCATGCACCCTGTGTTGCCATGGGTGACACATGTGTGTTGTCCCCAGGGGGAAAAACAGACGACAGAACAGCAGCAGCGGCATCGTCCGCAATAGGAAAAGAGGACGGCGATACAACATCATCAGCGGGCGAGTCACTGATCGAGTGACTGGTCGAGACCCAATCGAGGAGAGAGTGCCGGTCCTTGCCATCCAAACTGCTGAGGCAACAGCACTGTCACTGCAGTTGCTGCAGCTATTCCTTCAGCTGTGGCTACAAAGTAGCTGGCATGTGATGCGAGGTTAGGTAGGCAAACACACAGAGTGATCTTATTATCCACACAGACGCCCAAGCTGTCTTCACCTGACGGTTACAGACTTGGCAACGCCTTTCACAATACCGCATAAACCCATGCAGTAGAATAGAGTCGTTCTTGTACCGCAATTACTCCAAGATGTCCTCTCAAGAACTACGTCATTCTAGTACCAATGCATCAGACCCATTTCTCTCTCAATGTCTTCTCGAAACAATATCCATGTCCTCTCGAAACAATGCTATCTTAAGAACTTCTGACTCAATACTTGTATCAATTGTTTTCCCTTTCCCAGCTGCGTTGCATCAGCAGCGATTGTTTTCCTTCATCAACACAAATCTCTCGAATATTGTGTAAACATATACACACACATACACCATCCAACCCTCAAGAAGACATAAAGTTTGATTACGAAGAGGGGAGGTGATTAAATTCCTACGTAACAGCATGCCACGGGCGCGGAAAACTCCGACGGGTTTATTTAGCCCTTTCGTAAAAATGTCCGCTTTCTGAAGCGACGTCGATATTTGCTTGACGTCTACGACTCCGTCAGCTACCAGCGACCTTACGTGGTGAAACTTCACGTCAATGTGCTTAGTCCTTGGGGTGATACGGAAGCTGCGAGTTAATTTTAGAGCTCCCGAGTTGTCCTCCCACACCACGGTTGCTTCTTCCTGAGTCTGATTTATGGTGTCCAGCAGGTGAGTCATGCAACGGTAGGGGTTGCTTCTTCCTGAGTCTGATTCATGGTGTCCAGCAGGGTGGCGGGAGTACTTGATTATGTTGCATCCCTTTGACAAAGCCACGAACTCTGCTTCGACTGAAGAGGTCGCCACCACCGTCTGCTTGGATGATGTCCATTCCACCGGTCCACCAGCGAAGTACAACACGACTCCCGTGGTGGAGTAGCCCTTGTCTAGGTCGCCTGCAAAATCTGAGTCGACAAACAAACGCCGTAATGACGTTTCCATCTCCGGCGTCCTCGCCGTAGCGCACACCGATTGATATCGTCCCTTTCAGGTACCTGAGTACGCGTTTGAGTTTCTGCGTCGCCCTCGGACCTGGTTTCGCCATACTCCGCGTCAGAACCATCACGGAGTGAGTAATGTCGGGCCTTGTGCACCTGCTGAGATATAGAAGCGAGCCTGTGGCGGAGCGGAAACATGTGGTATCCTCCGCTGATAACACCTCGTCCTCCAAGACGGACACCGGTCCAGCCTCAGACGGAGATGTCGTTGGACGCGCGTCGGCCATGCCGAACTTGTCCAACACTGCGTTGGTATACGCTTCCTGTTCCAAAAGAATTGTTCCTGCGTCTCTGTCTCGGTTGATTCCCATACCAAGTAGGAATCTGGCTCCTCCCAGGTCTACCGTTTCGAAACGCTCATTCAGCTGATCGACTATGCTCAGCACTTTGTTCTCGCCCTCCCCGGTCAGCAGAATATCATCCACATAATAAACGAGAAGAAGCACATCTCCGTCGTCCAGGATGTACAAGCACGGTTCAGCGGTGCTCTCAACAAATCCGATCTTCAGGAGAAAATCGTGCAGAGTGTCCCACCAGCCTTTTGGGGGAAAACGCAACCCGTAAAGCCATGCTCTGAGCTTCCAGACTTGCCTGGCTCTCCCGCTGTCGCACGAGAATCCTTCCGGGGGAATGACGTAGTCGCCTGGGTCACCACTGAACTTGGCGAATCCTCTACGGATCTCGCCTGACGAGCCGGTAGCCATGCTTACCGACTCTGGTGACTCTGGTGAACTAGCTCGAGCAACTCGAGGCTCATAACCTGTTGAGGCAACAGCACTGTCACTGCAGTTGCTGTACAGCTATTCCTTCAGCTGTGGCTACAAAGTAGCTGGCATGTGATGCGAGGTTAGTTAGGTAAACACACAGAGTGATCTTATTATCCACACAGACGCCCAAGCTGTCTTCACCTGACGGTTACAGACTTGGCAACGCCTTCACAATACCGCATAAACCCATGCAGTAGAATAGAGTCGTTCTTGTACCGCAATTACTCCAACACAAACTCTTCAAAGCAGCGAGGGCAAAAGGCATCAGCTGATCTTGAAAACACCAAATAAATGCACGATGCAGCAGAAACAAAATCTAGACAGGAAAAATCGTGATGCGAATGCGAAGAGCGAAATGTTTCGCCCGACAAAGTGGCCGTGCGCGGCCTTCTCTTCGATCGACCGGCCTTGACAAAACCGCGGTTCAGCAGACCTAACGCATGGTCCGAAACCGGTGCCGGCAGGATGTCCTTCGGCCACAAATCGTTGGAGACAAGCCCCCGATCGAAATGCTCAAAAACGGCACCTTTTTCGCGAATTTCTGAGATCCCTGTGAACGATTGTGCAAACGAGCGCAACCCACTACAACCAGACGGCAGCAGATCATGCCAACAAAGCGGCCATTCAGCAGCCTGTCGCCGCCATGCGGGGGGGTTGCCAAGCGCGTGAGAAGCGTAAGGCTTTCCCCCGAAAGCAGGCAGAAAGGTGTCATCTTGGGAGCAAAGGGGCATGTCTTTTGTAACATGCACGTCATGCACAAGGTCGAAGCACTCATGGATGGAGAGCAATCCTACTCGAGCATGCTTGCCGAGCAAATGAGGAAAGAAAGACCAGCGTCCACCAAGCCGTCCCTTGGTGAACACAAAGCCATGCGAGGGGAAGCCCTCGCGCATGAGGCATGTACGCCCGTCGCGCGCACAACCGGAGCAAACGCCCGTCGCGCACACGAACGACCGGAGCAAACGCCCACACGTCAAAACAAAAAGTGCCCCACCGAGTGAGTCAGAGAGAGCAAAAACCGTGCCCTCTCTAAAACCAGGTAACTAAAAAAAATCGAGAGGACTAAAATGCGAGACGTTCACGCGAACGGTGAGCACCGAAGCGGAGGACCGGTGTCCAAATGCCAGACGACGCCACAATGTTATGGAGGAACAGAGAAATAATAGAGGGAAGGGAGCAAGTTCGTTGCTCCTGGCTTCGGGTACTCACGTTGTGTTGTTTGATCTCTTGTTTAGCCTTAGACCAGGTCCGCTCAGCGCCCACTCGGAGAGTGAGGGAGCGGGGCTGGGATTTTGATCTTCCTTCAAGCTACTTCAATACCCCTCAACGTCGCCAAATATCCATATCCAAAGAAAATTCATAATATCCAATAAGCGCTCATACAACGTTCATGAAACGCTCGTACAATGCAAATACACTAGTTGCTCTATTACATAGGGGGGATCCGTGAATGAGAAAGTGGGAGATTGAGGTATTATTTTAGGTGGGCACCGTGTATGAGTTCTATCAAAATTGTTTTACTATCGCCAAAATCATTAATAACTCCGCAGCTATTGACATATCTCGACGAGGCGGTTACGACTAGTTGTTTCACGTTCCATTCTATTTCGGAAAGTACTGTAGTTTTCGCACAAAACGTGATCGGACAAATTGTTGTGCACGGACTTAAATTCACCTACATGTAGCGACACCAGAAAAATAGCCGGTCATCCTCAGCCGTTGGCTCACTGGGTTCATTGCCACGACTCAGTACCATCATTGGTACACGCTTGTACTCATATCCCACCGCTCTGTGACCCCTCGAAACAACGCCAGTCATGATGAAACCCGCACACACGCAACACACTACGTAGCCTCGGTATTTGAGACATCTTCATGTGCTACCGACAATATCATTAACCATGAGAATATCGCAGCCTCTGTTAGGATGATCCGAACTGGGGGTAGCTTGTCGCAAGACGTGTGTTGAATACAATGTAGGGTGTCAGCAACTCGGCGAACTCGCGCCAAGGAGGAAAGACGTGTTGGGTTTGTCGTATAGACTTCTTCTTCACATGAAAACATGGACTCACATGAACAGCACCACACGCGCACGCACCATCAATAAGGGGGCGACGCAGTATACAACAAGGGGTACCTTGCACACCCTGGAAATACATTCCACGTACCACACAATCCTACAACCACTTGGCATTGCTACAAGTATATCTATCAGCCTCTCCGATGACGCCGCCTCACGGGAGACCAAGACCTTTGGAAGCACTATCAGTTTCAGCAGCACTGAGACTAACATTCAATCATTGGTCGACCGGTTGGCACGGCCGACGATTGATAAACACATGCACACACGAATGCTGCAGGCCTCACACACCCACACTTGGCGCAGTACAAATAGAACCACGAATGGTGGACAGCTCTCATGACATGTTGACACAGAACGAACAGCCCGTGGGCACCAAGAACTCAAGCCGCAGAAAACCTCATGCGCATCCAACCTGAAAGAGGCCGAGCCTGACATGCGGCGACAGAACAATTGCAACCACAACGCGATGACGAGGACTGACAGACTAGCACCCTGCCTAGAACCACTCACGAGAGTACACATTGGACAGCTCAGAACAGCATGTCCCCCACGACGTCATGCATGTCTACATTTTGCTCTGGCGGGTACATACACAAACGCAGAAAACTGAATCTTGCTTTCCGAGAACGAACAATAACCATCACTATACCCACAGCACAAGCATCCACTGTCATAGCCACCTAGACTATGCTCAACTAGGGAGAGCTTGAAGAAGAACTGTATGGGCTAGAGATGAAACGAAGACGACCCGGAATGAATGAAGTCAAATGCAACTAAATTGCCACCACGAGACAAGTGTTTTCCAAGGCTTTGGTTTTCGCGCGAACAAGACTTAGAAGTATTGCACCACCTTCTCTCGGCCAGCCGCTTTGAGCGCGAGGCATGCACGAAAAACGCCAATGCAAGGATGCTCTCGCTAGAACATGTACCCCTGCAGGAACGAAGACTAGACGCGTTGGAATAACCTACACCAAATACCAGGTGTTTGTGTTTCTCGCTCCCGCCAACATCAAGCCCTCATCAACGTCAAAATTGAACTGGCCTGATATCAAGACACCAAGAGACACACACGCCGTCCTTCGCGAGAACACCGGCGACAACCGACAGCAATAGAACCTCATTTCCTAAAGGGTCAAGAGATGATGCCCGGTCTACAAACCTACGCCCTCAAAAGCACCACGGAAAGCGACCAAGCCGTCAAGATTTCCTCAAATCCGCCACCACCCCTAGATGGCACTTCGCGAGTTGCGTACTACACTACTGTACTTGGAATGAAGGCCGTCTTGTTCTTGGTCGGCTTTGCGCCGGTGCCGCTAGGCTTCTAACCCTTCCTGCCGTCATTCGACGCCGTCGAAGCATCCCAGGCGTCATAGAAGTCGATGCCGTCTTGCAGGCAGTGGTCCCACCTGAAGTCGTCGTACACGTACGGCAGCATGTTGTACCGGGCATCCAGGACTGCTAGGACCTCCCGATTCGTGAGTTTGTTGCCAGTCTCTTCGTTTCCCAGCATGCCGGTCTTGATCTACAGAGAGGGGGGGGGAGGAGCAAGAGGAACAGCGAGTGTAAGAGAGGGCCAGAGAGATAGTACAAGAGAAACGCGCCGAACAGCACAGACGAAGTTGTTGAGGCGAAGTTTCGAGCAAGTCAGAGACACAAGAGGTCGGGTCTTTGGCTAGGGATCAACGTTATTTTTGGATTGATTTTGCTAATACTTTCCACAAGATCAATACGCTTGGAGAGGTTCAGTGGGGGGATGATAGATAGGGGTCGAGGATAGGTTCAGGCAGATCTACAGGGCAGAAGTGAACTCCCGTTGCTCGAGTCAACAGGGGGGCGAGACATGTACAGTTTGAGCTGAAAGCTGGGCGAAGAAGTGAAAAGGCGTTCATCACTCATCACCAGCGGCGCAAAGTACTTACATGGCTGATTTTGGTACGTTGAACCCGAAAAGAACGACAGTGTCGGTTCCGCCAGAAACGGTCGAGAACCGGGAACATATCTAACAGTCATTGACCTGCGTCGGCGAGTCTGTAGAGGTTGGCAATGTGCGTGGCGTGGGGCTTGAGCAGCTAGCCAACCGCTCTCGACAGCGCTGCTATTTATCCACATGCCTTGAAGCCGGCGTCGTCGTCCTCGAGAAGGCCAAAGGGGAACACGTCGCTCCCGCTGTGGCCGTGACAAGTGTCGCCGTATTTGCTGGTCGTCTCGACGACGGTGTTGCCGTCCGAGTCGGAGTAGGAAAACCTGCGCATCGATTACAACGAAAGGAATAAGCAACACGTGTTATCGCCCCGAAGGATGCCGAACATCCAGAGAACGAGAGTAAGACAGACATGGCTATTGGGAACATCATGGGGGTAGGCTGGGCGTCAGGGTAGATTGTACTGATGGGCGCTCGTACCTCATGGCTTGTATAGCAAAACACAAATGCAAAGCTTTGCCGCCGTTGATTTCGCATCAGTGATCAACACACACACACGCGAGTCAGCAGCGTGGTCACTCACTCGGAGTCCGGCCAGTAGAAGTCGGTCAGTTGTCCCGTCAGCGACGAGAACATGAAGAGGCGTTCCATCGTGGGGTGCATCGGCCAAAAAGTGGGGTCGAGGGAGGAGCCCGCCTAATGATGGTGATGGTGGATCAATCCGACAGGGTACCAACGTGTACTGTAGAGTTAGGTCAATGGAGAATGTAGTTCACGCTCGTAGTTTGCGTGCATGCGGGGCCAATGCGGGAAGAACGTTGGAACAGTGTCGGCACGAAATATGCATACGGCTGCCACCCGATGGGTGAGGCGTCGGCTTCAAGCTAAACGGCCAAGTTGCATATCCTGTGAATAATGCTACGTTCGAGATTCTTTGATCTGTCTCCAAGGGCGTACGCCTGGCTCGACGGCAGGAGCAAGCACTCGTAGACTACAAGTCATTGACATGAATGCCCTCCATCCGGCTTGCCCTTGCTCTTTCGAAGGGAGTGCACGCCAAGCGCCTCCGGAATTTCATGAAATACCAGAGCGGAGCTCTACTCCCAATACTCGGACACGACTACCAACCATACAGGGGCACGAGTGGGTACAGAACCCCAGCCTACCGTCGTCCTGCGTGCTTTCCCGTGGAAGACAGAGGGTGCAACATGCATATCTATGCCCAGCGCTGAAGAAATGAAAGGTGTTGGACGTCCTCCCTAGCCCCTACTTCGTGCCCGAAAAGAGCACGCACGCTCACATGCAAGTGGTCGCCGTCGTAAATGGTGGAGGCACACACGGCCGCGACCACCTGGCGCTTGGTCTTGTCGTCGTAGTCGCCGATGACGTCGTCGAAATCCAGCGTGGAGTTGGTGTAGATGGTCTTCCAGTCGTCTCCCTGGCTGAGGTCGTAGCCCAGGCACCCGCATTTACCGGACGAAAGGAGTTCGTCCGCTGGGGCGCCTACGGCGGCGGAGCCCTCACACGCGAAGAAGTCGTCACGCCACAGGCTTTTACGCTGGTCGAACGTGTTCAGCGAGAGCGAGTTGGCGTTCTTCTCCCCAACGAGGCTGCTGATGTAGCTGATGGTGTCCTCGCAGTTGAGCACCCCCCCGATCCAGGTGTGCACCGGCGCGTGAGGGGAATACATGCTCTTGGACACCCACGAGTAGAAGTCGTCGTAATCCATCACCAAGTTGTGGTGTTCCTCGCATGACGGCCAACCGTACATGTCGACAACGGACCCGTCGCACAACTTTCCCAGTCCCCGTGTCAGGTACCTGTCATTTTTCACGGTAATTGTTTTGGTTTTGGTGAGATGGTTGTGTGCGGTCTATTGAGCGTGTGAGCGATGAAGAAGGAACGAACCGCTGTTGAGTGGTTATCGAAAATCGACGTGAACAGGCAAACGAATAACGCAAGAGAAGAGAGAGGGAGCGAGAGCCACTCCACTGTACTCCAGGTCCATCTCCACACAACAAGGGGGACACCATGGCAGACGCTGTGACAACTACTGTACATAGTCGAGAACTCACGGTGACGAGTTGACGATCCAGCGAGAGCGGAGGAGGCCGTACACGTCCGGGATCAACTCTCCAGGACTGCCGGGGTCCATCGCCGGGATCTCGGTGCGTGCCCAACGGCCATCCTTCACCTGAAGAAAACACGAAACCGGCGGAGGAGGGGTGTGCGTCAGGGTGAAGAGCTGCCGAGCATCTTGGCTTCTATGCCCTTCCTCCCTACATACATCACCCACACACGCCAAGTCTTACATATGTGTGCATAACCGCATTCGCTCACAACTGAATAATAAGAGGATTCACATCGGCTTAGGAGGGAGCTACAGTATCACCGTTTTCTCGGGAAGGCAGGAGCTGTCACGGTTTCTGTGCATACTTGCGGGTGGTGTGTCTTCGCTTGTTGGTCCGGAATTGAACTCCTGGGCGCAAGACAAGCAACACCGGCGCAGCTCATGGCCCTATTGGTACATATAACGATACAAAAATCGCGATGTTCAGCCCGTTCACTCACCACGTTGTCGACAGGATCCGCCGTGCCGAACCAAGACTCTTGGAAAAGCGGCGAGTTGATCGTGATGTCGTCGTCATCGCCAGCAATTTCCGCCTCATGGTACTCGATGGTGAAGTCCCAGTACGGAACGGTCAACTTGGGGTTCACACGCTGCAGGCTGTACTCAAACGTGTTCGTGAGCATGGAGTGGCTGGTCAAGAACCCGAGGCCATCGTGGAACTGTAGAACGCACGACGTGTCGAGAAAGTGCGGGCGGAGGGTTGGTACATATGTGTGTTTACGAACGAGGAAAGAGTGAGGAACGGGTGGGTGGGCTGTTTGGCGCCAGATTGGTAGCTCTTGCGTTTGCTGTTGTCGCCACGGTTTTTTAGCGTTGGTTGAACAAAGCAATCCGCACTCTTGACAGCAACACCGGGAAGCCCAGCAACAACACGTTTCGAACAATCCATTGTCTGCTCCAACGATACCCGACCCTCCGTCAAACACTGCTGGATGTTGCACAGGGCCGGGATTCACTCAGTGGTTGTTTGGTGAGCGCCCTTTACACCCACACCCTTTCAAAGGGGCAAAGGTGAACGGCGCTGATAGCCATTCTTGCCGAAAGGTTCAACGCCCCCGTCAAAAGTCTCAGTAATTGTGGTGGAAGCAGCATCTTTTCCCATACTATTCCCAATGATGTACTCGTCAGCTGTCCAACCGCAGAATAGTGTACAGAGCATGGACGGCGGTGGCGCTTCGACACACATATGCGAGTCCGTACAATCGTTGACAATTTTTTCTGTAGCGCGGGCACGTGAATTCCACCGAGAAACGGAAGGCAATCTCGTCCGTCCGTGGCTCCGGGGGATTGAAAGCAGCGCTATAGATTGGATCGATTTGCACCTCGTTTTGACGTACTGTCGTAAATTCCAGACGTGGCACACAGACAGCTCCCAGCTCATATGTGTGATTTAATGCAACTCGGCCAAGGCTGGGTGAGATGGAGATTAGAAGGCAGAGTCTACAAAAAAAGTGTTTCAAAAATCGATACCGAAACTGAACATCAATCTTTTTTACCGTATCTTAGTTACCACATTCCAATTTTGTATTGCACAAAAATTGCACACAGACAGGCCCGTTGAATCGGAAGAATGATAAACAGACACGCGCGTGCATTGCAGTCATTCGTGAAGTACGTACCACGTTATTCGACTACCACTCACGACAGGTCTCCTCGTAAGTTTGGTCGTGCGCGAGGCTCAAGCCTCAAGAGACCACAGCAAAGGTGCGCCATGCAAAGAAAAGGGTGACATTGCCTTTTTTATCGTGGTATGCAGCAACCACGCACGCACGCACAAACACCCGATTAATACCCGATTCTCCGCAATTTCCCGGATCGTCTCAAAGATATCACTCGTCTTGCTGTTTGCTTCCTTCCACACTATTATTGATATGCTACGGAAATTGCACAAAGACTCGGGGGAGACATTGAGATATCACTACTATAGTATGTAAACTGCTCACTCAGGGAACCAACCGTCGAAATACAAGGTACTAGTGTATGATGAATTCATAGCTTTTCGGTATCCTGGACTCTTTTATGTTGAAAAGATGAATTTGTTGTGAGTTTTTTGGAGGAAAAAGTATAATCTTGTACATGCCTACTCTTACATACAGCAAGAAGCAGGACAGCAGTATTTTTTGTAGCACATTTCGTTCATTTCAACTCACGTGGTCGCAGCTCTTGTTTTGTGCCGCCTTGAAGTGCAGGCGGCTGATGGAGGAGATGTCCGCATAATCGTCCCCGTACAGCTCGATCCCCTTGCCACCGTGTACTCGTACTGCCCAAAGCTGGTGCATCTGGAGATTGGGCGATCGAGGAACGCCAAGAACGACACACACACGTCAATCCACAGCAGCTGCAGCCGTAGATACATGTCAGTAGTCCAAATAGTGCATCATTTCTACTGTGCGATCAGATAGTGCGCAACTATATATAGACGTCTACGCGGATGCCACCACTCACTGTAGTTCGACGGCATGCTTTTGGGGGTGTCAGGGAAGCGGCCGTTGATAGCATTATGGTTCCGAACCGCCAAACCAAGATGAATACCGCGAACATTCGCGTTCGTTCTTATTTATCCGAAATGACAGCAGTACATAATATACGGGAAAACAATTTTGGGTATGTGGATCTTCTAGACTCTATACCGTGACCGGACGGGTCTTGGGCTCTGTAATACGTTGTGTTTCCGCTTTACGCACGCGAAATGTATGGTTGAGTCGGGGGGCAGAGTTTCGCACCTCAGCTGTGCCCGGGATGGCTCGGTGATCCGAAACACATCACCTACACTCTGGAAGCAGCGGAAGCTACACAAACTCTGTACTGATGTGGACACGCGCAGGATCACATTCGCCCGGATCGACCAGAGACGGAAGAAGAATATTTTGTATGAGTGTGCCAGTTTTTTTTTTCGTGTGAGTGAGTCTAATATGTACAATGCACAGAATTCTACGCATAGACTATGTATGCACACTACAGGCGACACGCGCGGTATTGTCAGAACCTGCGTGTAGGTTTATAGTTTCACACATAAACACACAACTAACCGTCTTCACGCTCCACACAGCGCGTTTCACACACCATGTCTCAGACACGCACGCTAATCGTATCAACCACGGCCCGTACACAGACGGCCCGTACACGGATGGCCTGTACACGGTGCGTGGCATGCATTATGTATTATCTCCACGCTCACACGTCCAAATCTTCGAAACGCGGTCGACTTCTACGTTGGTCGTGATGTCATCAAGAAGAGCACTACTCACCGCATCCAACAGCTCGACTCGCTCCTCATCCGTGAGAGTCCTGATCTCCCTTCGAACGTACTTGACCATCACTATCTCGTCCAGCTGCCGCACGATCTCCCCATCAGGGTGTACCTCCTTCACAGTTATCATGTTTTCGTCGAGAACCGTCAGGGTTACAACGGCCTCAGCCCCGCTCGCCGTTGCGATAAGATCGGCCTCGTCCGTCTCACCGGCGCGAACTTCCCAGATGTAGTCGTAGCCGTCGCGGGGCAACGTAACCGCGAGGATTGTCTCTCGGTGGGGTTCGATGAGCTTCACATCCCTCAGCCAGGGGTAGTCCTGCGCCGGCTTGCCGTCCCGGATGTGGTAGAAGTTGAGTGCCACGAAGGAAAGAGGGGCTACTTTTCCAGGAACAGCTGCGGTCTCTACTGCTGTTTGTTTTGATGTCGGCAAAACTACCTTCGGGAATGGGCGTGGGACGATCTGGATTGTCTCCTCGGGAGTGTTGTCCGACGGGATCACGACGTCCACTAATAAACTAGCACCCGAAGTTGTTGTCCGTGATGCCGTGGTGTGGACTTGCCGATTGTAACCGACCACGGCAGCAGCGAGCACAAGCACTCCTGCGCCAGCCCGACTCCACCATCTTCTTGCGTGCGGCTGCATCATCGTGAGTCCTTCGCAGATGTTGTCGAACGACACCTTCTTGGACCTAATACTCAACCTTGATTCCTGATCGTCAGTAGTGGTCGATCCGTACATGCCTTGGGGCATGACCGCTGTCCACGACCGACCGCTGTCGTGTGATTAGCTCTGTACGCGATCCAAGAATGGGGGAGGGAAAGCGCTTGCTTCTGGCTCGGACTCGGCGTGCTGTCGCGTAGGAACGAAAGGCGTGCTACATTGGGGACGTCCCGATGTCCCGATAGTCTTCCGCTCGAGCGCGACCAAGACGCATCTTCTCGGATTATCTACTAATATTTGTCTTCTTTGTTCGCCATTCGTCCGAACTATTCGTTCGAACTACACATTGTTGTTCTTGTTGTTGTTGTGGTTGTTGTGTTCGTAATGTCAGTTGCTTATCCCAAAATCTAGCAAAGACGCGGTCCGTGGTCACAAAATTGCTAAATAGAGCCACGAGAAGATCCAAAGAACACGCCAACTAGCAAGAAATGGGTACACAAGCCCGAACAGGTACACCTACATACCTGCAGCAGCCGGCGAAGTATCCGGAGGGCGCGGGCTGTAATGACCGGGGATTCGAACAGACCTATTATTAAGGAATAATAAAAACACACACAGAAAGACTACCCATTCGAGATATATATCACAGCAGTCATTATGTTCCCCCGGTCCAGCCTGTTGGGGGGGTTCATTCAGGACATGTCCCCTGACCCCCAGGATTGTACCGCCTCCCTCGGCGTGCTTCCTGACCAACACCCAGGTGGTTAGTTACCACCGCCGATCACGCCAGAGAATCTGAGCCATACCCTTGCCTTGACCAACTGCCAACCCTTGTGAGTGCTGGACCTGATACGCTGATTATCGAGTCACTTGTTGTTGTTCTGTTCTGGGATTTATTTGTGTTTTTTTTTCATGCACTCTTCGTCTCATCACTGGCTCCTTCCACTCACTTTTTGGACATCGAACGAGCTCTCGCTAGACCCCTCTCGATGAATCTGCTAGCGTGGGAGACTCTCTCACCCTGTTGGGTCAGCCCACCTCTCATCCTGCCTGTTCGGAGTGTAGTGTGTGGCGATTGTGTGCGCTGGTGTGTGGCCATCACGCCCGCCAGTTTTTCGGTAAACTCTTCTTCTCATTTTGTTTTTGGGAATGGTCGCCTGCTACGTAACTTCTGGATCTTGCATGTCATCCACATCACGCATTCCTTTTACGAATCACCCCGGACCACTGATGCGTCTGACCTCACCTTGCCGGACTAGTCACATCGCCCCATATCTTTGGCGTGGATCCGCTCACATGCATGCGCATGTACACATTTATTTCCGCCTGCATCTTCCCAGCACACCGCAGTCGTACCCATGGTTGGTGGATCTTGTGCCACACCACCGAAATTCCGTTTTCTCCACAGCACACGGCATCATACGCCAACGCACGACTGACTGCGGTAGGTCCGACGACGCCCTGGAGCCCACCACATACTCTATATCGGCTATTGGCGCCGTCATACATCGCGGTATATTTTCCTTTGTTGGATTGGTGATTGATTCCGGCGATTTCTCACACGTACGTTGACGACAGCAGTGCGTTGTACATCATATTATTTTTTTTGCTCTCAGTTCTTTTCTTTTTGGCCTGTGCACAACTTGCCGCGTGAGCACCCGACCGAGTGGATAACATTATTGGGTGTTGTCTTTTTGCTGTTTTCATGGTGCTCCATCACCATGAATCATCATACGCCGCCTCATGATGGTTCATGGTGCTCCATGGTGCACCATGGATACATTTTCCTGGTAGTCCATGGTGCTCCACGGTGCACCTAAATTTTTCCGGGGTATACTCAATGGTATACTCGGTAACGTTTTTTATGTCGGACACGTTTTGGACGGAAAGTTCAATATACATGCACCAGGTATACCATTCTCATCTACTGCTGTAAACATCACTGATATGTTACCCCAAAGGATCAAATACGGTTTGTAAATTCAAAAAACGGCGGGAAACATCCGTGAAATTCAAAAATCTATAGATTTTAAAAACGATGTACTGTTACAGGATTCAGATTTGTAGACGTAACATAGAAGAGCTTGGTTCCTTCTAGAAGGCGCGGAGAGATGTAACTCTCCGCGGAAGGATAAAAAGCAGGGGACAGGATCTAGTAGCCCCTGCTTGTGCGGAGGATCCTGTGCCCCTTGGTGTCATTCCTACCGATACCCAAGGCAACAGCTACTGCTGCTGCTGTTCTACAAGAGTAACAACAAGTGAGTTCTTCTTCACGGGTCAAACAGACTTCATCACGCGTGCATACCGCTACACTTGGCGTTGTCGGCTTATTCGTACGGTGTTGTCTGGCTTGGTTGTGTCTTGGCGCGGGTTGGTGCTTTTTTAGGCTGCTGCTGCAGTTTTTTGCGCTTTCGTCCAAACCACAGCTTAGCTTTGCCTCGCTTATCGGTATGTCTCAATCTAGCGTCGGTTCATCGGACTCCGCTTCGGCGAGCCCTGAGCATTCTGAACGTTCGCGTTCGCCGGTGTCACCGCCTCGCGTAGCGACCTTCGGGTCCCCGGCAGCTGGTCGTCAGGCCACACAGCTGCTGCTGTCTTCGGACGGTGCTCGTGCCGCTGACCCTGTTGCCGATGCCGCTCGTTTGTCAGAGCTTCGCGCTCAACGCATTCGGGAGAGGTTCGCCTCGCCGGCTTCGGTCGACGCTAACCCCGTGGGTGCTGTCCTCAAACCGCCAGCACCCACACCTGGAACTTCGGTTTCTGCCTCTGTGTCTTTGGGTGTACAACAGCAGTCCGTCTCGACGACTCAACAGCAGTCCGCTCGACGGCTGCTGGTGATGAGCTTTCTGAATTCCCGCGTGAACCACATGTCGACTCGAATTTTCCTCTCGCCCCATCCACCGTTGAGCACCCTGCTCTTGGGACCGACATCGGTTTCGACCATGTTTCTGGCCCTGTAGTACCACGCTTGTCCAGTCGCTCGGCTTCTCGCAGCACGTTGCAGTTCGACTATACAGTGCCGGCGATTCCCCCTTTTTCTTCTCGTAGCGATCGTGTACAAGCAGCGGCTCTCGCTCAACGGCTTCGTGACCGTCGTGCATCTGCTCCATCCAGTGACATCACCGCTTGCAGATTCCGCCGCATCACCACCCACTGTTCCAGTAGTTTCGACTACACGGGCGATTTCGATTGCCTCTGGTACACTCCCCACAGTAGCTTCGTCTACCCCAGCTCTTTCGGTTGATTCTACTGCATTTGATCCCGTGGTTTCGCCCACACAGGCCATTTCGTTTGCCTCCGATGCTTTAGCTTCAGTAGTTTCGACTACAGGTGCAGTTTCGGCTGCTAACGTGCCTGTCCCTGCGGTCTCGACTGCTGTAGGTGTGTTTGCCTCCATCCCTTTAGCTCCGCCGCTACCAACAGTTTCGACTGTTCGCGGTGCTGCTGCCTTAGCCGCCCCACCTTTGCGTACCGTTTCGACGCTGCGTACTGCTGACCTACCGGCAGCTCTCGTACGCCCAGACGCTGAAGAGGGTCGAATGCCAGAGCGTTGAAGCCACGATCCGACAACGACGCCTACTGTTCGCGGGAGCACTGGCAAGGCAGCCGGACGGGCGACTCCCGAAACGACTGATGCTCGGCGAGCTGGCGGGGGGGGAGAAGCCACGTAGGGGGGGACAGGAACAGAACTGGCCGAAGTGTGTGCTTGACGACCTGAAGGCCTTCGGGGCCGACCACGGATCTACGAAAACCGACCCAAGTTGTCTCGGAATTCCCGTACCGAAAGACACGGCACCGAAGTCAAGGTGGACGGAAGCCGCGAAGGTGGAGGGGGGAGTACCCTGGCATGCGGCGGTGCTGCAGGGAGCTGAGAGGTTGATGACCTCCTGGCACGAGAAGGAAGAAGAGGCCAGCCGACAACGAGCGCTCAAACGAAACCACAAGCCAACAACCAATGGGGCGGGAGGGGGGCAGGAGACGGACGAGACGGCAAGGGAAGAAAGCAAACGAGAAGAGACGGACCGAGTGGCACGACACGTGCCGGATTGAATTTCTTTTCGCCAATTCCCCCCCCCCCAACGCTGCACCATTGCACCAACCCCCCAGTAGTAGTGATTTCGTACCATTACAATGTATCGCTGGTTGGTGGCCATGTTTGCGTGTTTGCTTGTTCGTTAGTGGTCTCTCCACCGTGTGCCTTTTTCTGCCTCATAATTCCTGTTATTTTTCGGCCTGGTCCCTCTTTGTCCTCGCCCTTTTTTTCATTTTTTTCATTTTTTCATTTTATTTTCATTTTTTTTCTCTTCTCCCTACGGGTTTCATTTTTATTTTTTCTCCCTTTTTTTCTCTTTGGCCCTTTTTTTCTCTCCTTTTTTTCTCCCCTTTGGCTCTCTTTTTTTCCCCCTTTTTCTGTGCCAGATGGACTTGTCTCTGCTTGCGTTGTGAAGTACCAAGATTGAACCAAG